ATCCCAAGGGAGGATACATCTTCTGGCTGCTGTTAGTGATGTTTGAATACAGCCTCTCATTCCCTCCCCAGAATCATTTCTCCTCCAGGTCCGCGGCCTCAACGGGATCCTCCTCAACTCCATGGCCCCAATACCTCCCGTAGCCTCCAAGGAYGAGGTAGCAGCCACTGAAGAACACACTCTAGAGACCTTCTATCCCATCTTGCCAACGATTGATCTTCAGGAGGTGACTGTGTACAAAGAGCTCGATGATACGGGTAAGTCTGGCAGTTGGACAGTATTTTGTTAGATGAAATACTGAACTTTTGTTTGCGTTAAYGTACAGGCCTTGCCTTTCTACCAGAGGGCTGTGGTGAGAGGTGGRTGGGAATGAGATGCAGAGGTGCTGGGCACAGGGTGGTAGTGAGACTGCTGTGGAGAGAAGCTTAGATTGAGGCAAATTGCTTTAACRGTTCCTGAAGATGCAGGAGCAACTGTGGCTATGATGTCTCTTACTGAGCTGTTCCTGACACTTTTTTTGCTTTTCAGGTTTTCGGGCCGGTTATCCATACTGCCATCCTCACACCCTGTACTTCCTGGAGTCRGCCAACATCCGCACCAACAGGTTCAGACCGGAGCAGCTGCGGGCGAAGATGATGATGTTTGCTTTTGGCAACGCGCTGGCCAAGGCCAAGATGCTCTACGGGGTAGGTGACTGCAGCTGCCACTGACTCGCTAGGCCCTTGGTCTTCCTGTAGTGTTGCAGCTCATGGATAAAGTTCCAAAATTCCCATTCCGTGGAGGGTTGCAGCACTTCTGGTGTCTGCTCTGCTGCCTTTGCTAGATAGTGACTTCCCAGCGCAGCAGTGAGCGCGTTCAAGGTGCAGTGTGTGTTGGAGTAGTAAGAGGTAGGAAGCAGGGAGTGGATCTGGTGGAAAACTCTAACCCATCCCACATCTCAGTATTTAAATTGAWACTTCATTGCTGGTCAAAGGAGGAATTTTAATTAAAATACAACATCTACATTCAAAACTTGTTTGACTAGAGTAATTTTCTGGGCAAGGTAGCAATAAACTTATTAAAATCTTGGCCTTGAGCCGAGTAGAAGATGCAGAATCAGCAGCTGCTTGAACAGTTTCAGTGGTAACTGGCTTTTCAAATGCTCCCCTCCCCTCCCCACCTTCTTTCCTAGAACGATCCCAAGGTTTTGGAGGAGCCGATAGTGGTGCAAAGTGTTGGCACAGACGGCGAGGTTTTCCAGTTTATGGTGTTCCAGCTAAATACAACAGACTTGGTCTCCGGTGATGGCGTTAAAAACCTTGTCTGGATCGACGCWGATCAGCCACTGTATGAAAAAGCCCAGTGTGTCCCAGAAATCAAGAAGAGAGTTGTTACGGTGAGAAAATGGGTAGGAAAGGACCAGTTTGGTGGTGATGGGGGGTTAAAAGCTCCTGGCAGTGTTACCTTGCCGGCTGTGCTGGGGATGGGAGCTGGGGCCACAGGGCCTGGCACGGGCAGCAGCTCTTCCGTGGGGAGCCCACGCGGGTGCTGCTGACAGGGAGTATTTGGGCTGCTGCTGCGGTGCTGCTTTGTGCCTCAACCACATACCAGGCTTGGTGTAAACTCCTGCAGGAAGATGTCCCCATCTGCAGCCTGCCCTCTTGTAACAGGCTTGTTTAAAGTCAGCTGGAGCTGTGATGAAGGAAGTGCTTGTGGGCAGCTGCCAGGCTCGCTGCAGAGCAAACAGCCTCGCGCTCGTTATGGGGGAGGCTCCTCACCATGGGGGGCTCGGGCAGTTTAAGCTTCATGCCCAGGGAAGTACCTGCTGCAGGGCCTCCCACCTGGGGCCAGGGGCACAGTGTGGAGGCCACAATGTTTCTAGCGTGATTCCAGCATGTTTAGCTGTTGTTAGCCTGCATTACTCGCTTGGTGAGCTGAGTGTCCGTGTCTTTTCTCTGCAGAAGCCCGTTGGAATATATGGCTTCCAGCCAGACACATTCAAGAAGTTTCTGGCACTGTATTTGCACGGAACTGTGTGAAATTCCACTCAAATGAAAGACTGTACCTGCTGCTTCTCTTTGACAGAACACCACATACCTAAAGAGAGGTGGATTAGTTTACTTTCCAAAATAAATTATGTTGTTGCTCTAATTTTTTTAATCAAATTGTGCCTGAAGAACCTTCTTTATTTTAGGGGCTCGTCTCTTGTATGCAGCTRGAGAGTCATCGTGTGCTTCCTTCTGGACTTGCCCACTGTTGCCTAAAAGGAACACGGACCCCTCGTTACTGCCCTGCTCGGCTTCACACTTGAGCTCGACTCGCATTTTGTGGGTTTGCTGTCACCTCCTCTGTTGTTTAGGGGCATCCTCCATAAAGCTTAACGAGGGGAGTCCAAAACATCCTTCTGCCTGGCTCTTACTTTTCTATCTGCCTTTGGAAGGTGTGCTCTCCTGCCCTCCTGGCTCCCTTATTAAGCGCTTAATGAGCAAGAGGGCTTTTCTGGAGCTGGAGAGCTGCAGCCCTTTGCCTCCCCAGCACTGCAGAGGAGGCCTGTTCCCTTGGGCGAAGCGGTGGAGCACGTGGCACGAAACTTTCTGGACCAGGACCTGCTATTTGCCGCTAACAAAACAGCAGAATTTCTTCTTGCATATGGGGTTAAGTGAGCAGGTAGCTCCTTTTAGGAGGAGGGGATTAGTGTGTTTTTTGTAAATACAGAGTAAAGGGCCTCCAGCTGCATGTGAGGTATTTTGCAGTGCTGCCCTTCAGCAGGGGAGGAGGAAGGGGGCAGCCTGAGCTATTCCTGTGGCGAGGAGGAGAATATCTCCAAGAAAACTGGGCCTTTAGTGCGTTGTGTTGGCCACAGAGCCGGGCATGGAGAGGCTGGATGAGGGGAGAGCGAATGGGCGGCTCCTGAGGACAGCAGGCGGCAGGAGGTGGTCACCAGGGACCAAGCTCCCTCCAGCTGCTCCCTTTGGTTGCAGGAAGCCCCGGCAGGTCCCTTGGGACCAGAGGGCTGTACAGACACATGGGGCAACATGGCCCCAACTGGTTTTGCTGCCGAGCAGCCCCACAGCACGGCGAGCCGCATGCCTGGGGATACTCCACTCTCCCCAAGCACATTACACACGGTGAGCTTCCCCAGCTCAGTCCTCCAGGAATTAGCACAGCCTGGATGGGAACAGGAGAAGGATGGCGGAGGCGCGTCCGGGTCGGCATCAGTAAGTTATGGAGAGGTGTCAGTGCTGGCTGGCGTCGCCTCAGCACCGGACCCGCCATTAATGTTAGAGGAGTGTGGCCAAGGGCAGCAGAGCGCCGGGCGCAGCTGGGGCTGCCGGGACGGCCGCTCGCCTGGCCGGGCCCCGACAGCCGCCCTGGTGCCCTTGGGAGCCGCGGGAAGGGCAGCCAAGGAACGAGGGGCGGAGGGCAGCGCGGGGAGCGCCCTGCTGCCCACCCAGGCCACGCACCGGCCCAGGGCAGGGACACATTCCTCCTCCAAGCTGAGGAGGAAGGGGCTCCTCCCTGGCACTGAGCGCCCTTCCCAACACGCTCCCGCTTCCCTGTTTCCCTCCCTTGCCCTCGGAGGCAGACACCTCTCCAGCAGGGGCGCAGCRCGGTGCCAAGCCGCGGGCCGCGGCGCCTCGAGTCCTGCCGCCAAGCGCGGCGCCCCGGGCGGCGTTCACAGCGCCGGCAGCAGCACGGCGTCCTCGCCCGGAACCCCCGCTCCATCGTATCCTCCTCCCACGATTCATCTACTGGCAACCAAGGCGGGAGACATCATCCCCAGGTTGGGCTCCGGAGACCTTCAGAGGAGGGAACTTGGCTGTTTCTCACTGCCGTGTTTAATAAAACCAGCTTGTAACGGGCTCGGAGGCTCCAGGTGCGGAGCCTTGAGGCCGTGCGGGAAAAGCGAGCGGGGAAGAGCCGGAGCAGGAGGGCAGGGGTCCCCATGCCGGGGGTATCGGGGAGCCCCGAGACCCGCAGGGTGCAGAGCTGCCCCTCACACCCCGTCGCGCTGATACTGATTCCTATTGCACAAATCCCTGCTGCTGCATGGGGCTCCCGGGGCAGGGGACGGCCGCCCCGAGTTCCCGCAGGGCCCCGACCCCGGCCGACGCCAGCAACAAACTGCGGAGAACGGGAATCAAATGTTGATGTCGATATTTATTACAGCATGGGGGCGGGGGGGAGGAGGAGAACCGCTTCATTCCAAAAAACCCATCCCATACCAATGAAGACAATAATTTAGCTATTCATTTTTTTTAAAATACATTAAAACCGGTCCTTTCGTTTCCTCACAACGGAACAAAAATGAAAAAAAAAAGAAAGGAAAAAGGAAAAAAAAAACTGAACAAGATGGAAGGTAGAAAAAGAAAATCGTCGACCCCTTCTGGAGCCCATGGGCATATCTGCGATGCAACAAACCTTCCCCTGGCCGTTTCTTATCGTTGCTTTTAAAATATTAACCTGACTGTAACTATGAGACTGACACCCGCAGACCCCGTCCCGCCCGCCCGCCCTTCCCAGCAACTTTCTACAGGTAAAGCACAATTAAAATGCCTAGGAAAAAGAAGGCAAACATTTAAAAAAATCCATATTACACACTAAAAAAAGTTTGTCATCTCATGTCTCGCAGTCAGAATAATAAAAACAAGCCAAACATTCCCCAAAACATTTCAATGAAGGGGTGCGGAAAAAAGACATCCCTTTAATAAAACATTATCAACAAATATCGTACACAAACTACAATGTATAATAATTACTTTTYCCCCCCCCCCTCTTATTTTAGAACCAGACTACAAGGTAAGAAAAAACACTGAAACAAGATACAAGGCTTTCAATAATCCGCACAAGGGTCAATCCAGGGAGATAATATTTTACATAATATGATATACATGGAGCAGAAATGGAGATTTAGAAAAACAAAGAGCAGCTACGGGGTATGTAATGTACAGAGATGCCCAGACTCCGGCGGGCGCCACTTCCCAAGGCTTCCCTGTGGCTTCTCGTGGCCACCTCTCCCACGAGAAGGAAGCGGCTTTGACTTTTTTAATTCCTTTTATTTTGTGTTACAGACCGAGCCTACAGAATAGCAAGGATACATTGGGGTTTTTTTCATTAACAACAATAATTACTTAAAAAACTTCTCCATCCAGTTCCAAATCATATATAAGTGAAACCCTGATGAGAGCACATCTTAAAAAAAAAGAATAAAAACATAAAACAAGACCAAAGCAGAAAAGAAAACCAAACAAACCAAAGTTAGCTGGAGATCACGGTTCAAAGTCCCAGGTCACATTAACCCTTTCTTTCTCCTTTCTTCTGTTGGGTTTAAATTTTATTATTATTTTTTTGTAGTGAACCAGCTCAAGGACTCTCAGGAGGGGAGGGACAGAGAAATCTTCTTGTACTCTGAGAGGAGGGGAAAGACTAACACAGTGCATGCCACAGTCACAGAGAGTAAGTTCACGATCAACTGGAGCCTGTGATCCTATTAGGGGTCACCTGCATTAACCAGTTTGTAACGAGGTGGTGGAGTCTCTTCCACAAGCAGATCTTGTTACCGGAGGAGGAAGTGTTGTGCTGCAAATGAACCAAAAAAGGAGAAAAAAACAAAGGAAGGAAAAAAACAAAACAACAACAAAAAAAMCCCCCGAAAAACTACAAAACCAAACAGGCCTTCTGAACAAAAACCACCATTGTAAACTGTCCAGTTTATTTAAAAAATGACTACAACAGAGACAACATGAGATTTCATATCTAGACTAGCTTCCTGGTGTCGCACGGCACAAACATACAACAGGGTTCTGTTTTTGTTTTTATTTAAAAGAACAAAGCAAAGAGATTGGAGTTGGGTGCTAGAGGCTTCCATTTGTTTCCAAAAAGAAGTGTCATGTACATATATAAACCCTTCTGCACAAAGAAGGATCTTGTCATGTCTTGAAATATTTTAAGTTTTGTCCTTCATGTTTTATGGAATAAAAAGTTCAGCCTTTTTATTGCATGAAACTAAACCTGGGGTTTTGGCCCCCGCCACACGTCTCCCTGCCAATACACCTAGCTTCTTCTTGCATAATTCGTTGAGATCCTCCGAACGGCAGCTGACTCTCTTTATCCTGGAGAGGAGGAGGGGGAGGGAAATCACACACTCATCGTCATGCTGGGGGAATACTGCAAGAGAGACAAAGCCACGGTGAGAAATCCGGCCGAGCAGAGCGAAATACGGAGCGCTGCTCCGGCTGGGGAAAAGGGGGATATAAAAGTAAGGCTTGGGCTTATGAAAACTATAAAGCAACATAATTGGATCTCATAAATCAGGAGGAGAGAATATGCTCGAGACTCTAATTTATCAGAACATAATCTGCTCTGTAACTTGCCTTTCCAGGGAGAAAATAAGCAAAACAGTATGGGGTAAGAAGCAATTTAAAAAAAAATAATTAAAATGCATGCATGTATATAATGCTAATATAGTCAAAGCAGGAGAGGCTCCTGCACCCATACACAGTGCCTTGGATCAGGGGGACTGCCGGGCTGCGTGTCTTAGGCGCCGGGGCCAGGCTGGTGTCGAGCACCGGCGGCTGCAGCCGCGCTGGCCGCCGCACAGCGGGACCGGGACACCCGCTCCAAAGCAAATGGTTCCATTGGAACTGAAGCGGCTCCCGAGTAAGGAGAGCACACAGGAGATGCGGGTCTAGAGTCCGTGTCCCAGCTAGTCTCCATGCTGCGGGATCGTCTCCTGCTTCCTTCTCTCCTCTCCTCCATCTCACCCAATCCAGGTGAGCATGGAAGTGTGTGCCGTCTGTGCCTCTTCCCGAGGCGCCCGTCCTGTTCCTTCCTCCCACGCTTTGTCCCAGAGCAGCTTACAAAGAGCCGAGGCCGGGTCAAAGCCGGAGCCTTAAGGACCCGGGATCCCAGCTCGCAGCCGCAGGCAGCGCGGTCCCGGCGCGGGGACGCAGGACACTCACATTGTCGTTTTGGAAGGAATGGAGAAAGTTGCCTCCCAGCTCCCCGTCGTCTCTTGGAGTGCCCGGGGGATTGCTAATGCCACTTATGTTGTTTGGAGAATTCTGCGGAGAGCGGAGGGATGCGTGAGCACGGCCCCATGTCACCGCCCGTGCTCGGAACCGCCCCGCGATCCCGCTCTGAGAAAGGGGGAATTAGGCACGTGTGCCCYGGCTGCCCCCGAGCACACTTACTTTTGGAAGTCCATCTATGTCTCCTGACCCTGTGAGAGGGGAAGAAAAGGGAAAAGCCTCGGTGAGCATTCAGTGATGGTCCTTGATCCCCCCGCTCCCTCCTCCCTCTGTAGTTTTCAGCCAAAGGTGCCTTTTTGGACACGGATCCAAACTGGGAGCTGCCCCCGAAGCGGGAGAAGGAGCCAGAGCCCCAGCCCCATGCTGGCCCGGTCCCCGCTCCAGCAGGTCTGTGTGGGTGACAGGGATGTGGGGCGGGCAGGTCCGGGTGTCCCTCCAGGCTGCCCCGGGTCGGGCCGCGGTGCCGCCGCTCACCTAACGATCCGTTCATGTGGTGGGGCTCCATTCCACCCATGCCGCCCATCGGGCCGTCCGAGCCGGGTCCCATGGGGAACTGCGGGAGGGAAAGGCAGCGATGCCCAGGGGAGCCGAGGGCTCCCGGCAGGGCAGAGGGCCCCGRCGTCCGGCGGCACCTCCGTGCCCAGCGCGGGCAAGACGAGCCCYGCTCGGCTGYAGCAGCGGAGCCGGCTACCAGGAATCTGGCTGTTTTCAGGGGASTGGAAAACTCGAAACAGATTTCAACACGGGTTTTAAAAGCCAGCCAGTAAGAGAAGTCTTAACAGAGSCCAGCTCGGGGAGGAGGCTGCTGGCAGCCTGTGCTATGAGCAATGGGGCTTAAGGGAGCTTCGCTTCCAACTGCAGACCCCTCAGTGCCTGCTCTTTGCTCCTCTCTTTCATCCTCCTCAGAAAAGTCCTGCTCCCTTAGGACTTTTTGGGAAGAGTTTCTATTTTTGCTGTTTTTTTTTTTAGCCCAAGCAACAACTCAGCCCTGAACCTCCAGCGAGGGAATGTGGCTGTTCTGGTGCAGGGAAATGAAGAACGGGAATGAAGTTGTCCGTCCCCCTGAAGCCGCYGCTCGCGGCTCACGCAGCCAACATGATCTTGACCAGAGCGGCAGGAACGCTGCTCTCTTAATAAGCATAAAAAATTAACAAAGTCGCTGAAGAGTTAATCACTTTTTGATGGTTTGTTTTATTTCTGTTTTGTAACAAATGGCTGAAATCAATTAAACTGCTTTACTCTCAACTGATGAAGTTAATTATGATTTGTTATGGTATCTGATATGTAAATTATTAGAAAGCAGACTTACATTCGATCGACTGCCTGCAGGCGGTACTGGATTAATCATTGTGTAGATGTTGTCACTTGAATTTGTTGAATCTGTGGAACAGCGAAGCCCAGTAAGTCGGGTGATTAATTCATTTCTTAATTAAAACAAACTCATGCCACTTGAACTCATTCTTTTGTATTTTATCACCTAAAATTCCCTTTAAGTACCACCATTTTCTGGCTAATTTGTATTTAATGAAGATTCAYAAAGTTTTTAATCACAGAAATTCAACTGTGAAAAATAATTCAACTTCTAACGGGCGACTGCGGGGCCGCCTTGTCGGGGCGGCGCGGGGAGATGAGGTGTTGAACACCTCCAACGTTCCCGCGGGACGTTCCTGCCRCGGAGCGCGGATGGGGGAGTTCCTGGTGGGAACTGGTGGGACGGATGCCCCGTGGCAGCTGAGGGGCAGCACGGGCCGGGTTGGACCTGCCGTGAAATGTAGGTCAGGGCTCTAAGGAGAACGCAGGGGCGGCAGGCGCGAGCTCCGGAGCGCGGGTTGTGCAGCTCCACCCTGAAAGCGGCCGCCCCCGGCACCGCTGCAGTCCCTGGCACCACTGCATCCCTGGCACCGCTGCAGCCCCCGGCACGGCTGCATCCCTGGCACCGCTGCAGCCTCCCAGGGTTTTCTGTTTTTGGGTGTAGTGGTGGCTGCTGAGGGCTGCCCAGGGGGAAGGCGGCCGCTCGCAGGCAGCGCGTCGCATTCCTGCTGCCCGGCCCTGCTCGAATCCGCTCGCTCCCCGGAGCGCAGAGRTTCGGCTCCCCCAGCCCAGCGCCGCCCTCGCGCTCCCTGCCTGCTCCGGCACACTCTGCGTGAACACGTTCTTGCTGCAGGGCGTCTTGCTGGGCAGGGGGTGGCTGGAGCGTTTTGTTGCTGCGCGCAGGAGCTCTCTGGAGCACCGTGGCCAGAGCGCCCGCGCTCCCCGCGCGCCCTCCCTGCGCTCCACGGAGCACAAAGGCCGGCAGGAACAATGGGGAGCAGCGGGGCGGGCGCCTCGCGTTCCTACCTGCGGGACTGGGCATGATGGGTGTTCCCGGGGGGCCGCCGCCGCCAGGGGGACCCTGCGGAGAGACCAGAGCCCGTCACCGCGTGGCAGAGCGGCCGCTGCCGTCACCACCGTCTCGCCCCGGGAGTCGGAGACCTCCCGCTAAAGCCTCGCCGTGCAAGCCCGGGACGAGCCGGGATTACCCTCCCCATCTGGCTTTACCCGGGCGGTGGGAGCGGGCATGGAGCGCGGGGAGGGAAAGCACCCGCGGCGAGCGCTTCTGCAGCGCTGCCTGTGCCACGCTGGCACGGGAGGATGCCGGGCAAACACGGGGCGTGTGGGAGGGTTTGTGCTGCCCTTAGCTTTCCAGCACCCCTGCCGAAGGGTAGACCCGCAGGGCAGCGGCTCYGCATCCCGCAGGGCAGCGGCTCCGCATCCCGCGTGCAAGCCGGGCGAGAGCCAGCGAGCCGCAGCGYGCCCCGCCGAGGGACTCACCACGTATGTACCAGGCGATGAAGAAGAGTATGGGATCTAGACACAAAGAGACAAGAGGGCTTAGCCAAAATGCAGGAGCACCCCCCTGGGGCTCAAAGGAGGCCCAACCACCAGTGTGGCCGGCAGAGGCAACCTCCTTACGAGGCAGTGACCATAGGAAAGGGGAATGGAAACACCCTCGTTAGATGGACCCCTCTAACGAGGTGCCCCAGGGAGGGAGCTCCGTGGGTGCAACGTTTCCTTCAGCACCCGGCCACCCTGTGCCCTGTGTGGTCGCACAGCCCCTGCTTGTGCCCATGCACCAGGACCAGGATACTTACTGAGTTAGCACTGCTGGGGTTAGGCCATGGTCTGCCAGCTCCYGGGCCCCTGTGGGGAAAAAGGAACAGAGAAAACGCTCTGCACCAGCACTCACACCCATTCCCACCTCCCCGGCACACGCAGCGCCCGGCATCACGTGGAGCAAGAGGCCACGGGCAAATGTTTGCAGAGAAAAGCATCACAGATTGGCCTTACATGTTAATTCCAGGCATGCCGGGGCCTAAAGAGTTGGGTGGAGGTCTCATCCCGCTGCCATAGTTCTGCAATGATAACCAAGGATCAGTCTACCATAACGAGAAGGGAAACCGGAGAAGAAAAGGGAAGGGAAAAAAAACACACAAACAAAAACAAGAGGGTTAGTTTGCAAAAATGAACTCGAATTACAAAAGAAAGAAAGAAGAAGAATTAGATGATGATAAACATACGAGCAGTTGGCAACTGAAAACAAAGGAACCTGCCCGGGCAGCGGCGCCTTCCCCATGTCTGAGCGCGAGACACGGCCGCCGGCAGCCCCACGGAATGGGGGGACCCACTCCCAGTGCTCCAGAGCACAATTCCCTCCTGGCCCCAGGGCACGAGGGGGATGTGCTTGTGCATCTTCCAGGAGAAAACAGGGATGGGGAGAGAGAAGAAGCTGCCACTTGGCTGATTACTGAGGCAGCGAAAGGAGGGAGGATGCCAAGAGCAGCAATGCTCACAGGGGCTTTCCCGGGTCAGAAGAGCATCCCCTTCTCCCAGGATTTTGTCTGGAGCAGTGTTAAGAAAAAGCAAGGTCTGTTTTCACATTGCTATAAGGTTCTGTGTTTGAATCCTCCCCGCAGTGGTGTGTGGCCCTGGAGCCACACAGGCTGCTCCTCCTCTGGCTCTGGAAATGCATGAGGAAGAGGAGGATGTTGGGCTGGGAAGAAGGCGCAGGACTCTCACACCTGCTGGTGTGATGGTGTCTGATCAGGAGGCTCCTGCACCAGCTCCTCACGCCATGGCCCCGCCGCCTGGGCAAGCCAGCCCGTCCCGCCACCCGCGCCGCAGCTTTGGGCTGTATTTCAGTCATTTAGGGAAAAACGGCAAGGACAGGAGAGGGGGATCGCTGGGCACGGCACAGCTCCCAGCTCCCCATGGGCTCAAACCTGAACTTTAAGCACGGCCTTGCAAGCTTAGGACCTTTTCCTGGATTTACGTGTGTGCTGAAGGGCGCTGYTCTACGTGTACTTCACTTCTTTTCCTCTAAGCAGAAAAGGTCTCACCCAAATAAATTACTAGGATGGCCTTAACTGATCAAAATTCCAGCCATTTACACCGAATGGCAGTATCAAAGCTCACATTAAAAAGAAACAAACCCAGGAAGCTATAAAACCTTTAAATAGAGGCACTGGTGAATCTAACCCTGGCATTGCTAACCAAGATCACTGGACACAGAGCTAAAACTACAGCTACTAAAGGGGAAAAGCAGCAGAGGGAGGCTATAAGAGATGAGGAATAGTCAGTGGATAATGTGATGGTTGCTACCAGGATACCGGCATGTCCTGGCTGGACACTTTGCTGTCATTCAGAATAACTTTTGGGCAATATTCAGTCCTGATGCAAAGTTGTCTTTGTTTGTAAGGTGGCTGGGAGGCCCTGGGCATGCGGGGTGCTAGAGGCTGATGATTTTGGTTCAATATTTTTGATCATTTCTTGCACACTCTAAGGCGCTGCGCGCTCGTTTCTGGAGCGCTCTGGCAAGGCAGCACCAGATTGGGAAGCCAATACATCCGTTTACGCAGTTGCTCTTCTCCGAGGGAAGACTACATTTCAAAAAAAGCTCTCTCTAATGTACGTACACAGGGAAGAGCAGAGTAAAAAATAAAGCCCTGAAAATTTCACAACTCTTCTCGTCTCCCAGACCTGCCACCATCCCACACAGCACTCGGCGCCGCGCTGCCGCTTCCAAGTTCCGTGGCAATCTTTTCAAGTTGGAAGTGAGCAGCCGCTTCCAGCCAAACCGCAGAGAGCATCCAGAACCTTCCCGGCACGCTTTTCTTGGCTGGGGCCACTGCAACAAACGCCTTTTTTTTCCCCTTCATCCGGCTCGAGGGAGCGCTGCAAGGGCAGTGCCAGGTCGCCCGTCCCAGCGCCATGGGACGGTGGCACCGTCCRCCCACGGCCGCTAGCGGATTTTCTCCCCCAAATCTGCCCCATGCCTGGCCCGTGGGGTCGGATGTGCATCTATAACCTGGGTTCTCTCCCCCTTCTCGGGCTCACATTGACAAGAAATGACATGAGTCTTTTTTTAYGCCACGCTCGTTTTCAGCTCAACAGTCTCAAGGGGGAAAACTGCACAAAAGTGGAGCGCACACAYTGGGCTCCGGCAGACTCCGATCCTAGCGCTGCAAACGCCACGTAGGCGACAATGCAGAGAGGATAAACCTACTACCAAAATATGGTAATCTGTTTTCCAAGTCTCTCAGAAGCAACAAACACAAGTGAGTCAACAGAGTAACATGCAAATTCSCTTCTTAAAATGAATCAACAGAAAGCCAGAATATATTAACCTAGATCTGCTTAATTTAGAGTTTATTCCTCCCTGGGCTGGCTCTGCCCTCCCTACCTTCCCTTCCTCGAGTTACTCAGGCAGGATTTGGTATTACTGCAGCATGAGAGACAACTTTGTTTTAGTTTGGGCTACAGATGTGTGAAATTAAGTAGCGGGAGCTATGCTGTTTTTCCAAACTCAAGAGCACACATATTAAAAAAAAAACAACCTCACCCAACCAAAAGCAGTGCAGATGCCTTAAATACTAGAGCAAATGAGTGCTGAAGTGTGCTGAAAGCCTGGGAAGGGCAAGAACTGAACCCCACAGGGCAGCGAGCAAGGTGCTGCTCTGCGTATCCTCATCCTAGGGGCAAGCGCCAAGGGGCCCCAAAACGCGCAAGCAAAATTACCCCTGCAGAAGCCACCTTTCCTCCTAAACTGAACAGTTATGTTATAGCAACCTCTCTCCTCTCCTCCTACCCCTCCAAAAAAATTCAATCGTGAAATGATTTAAATAGATGAGAGCTCCAGATGCCTGCAGAACCGGGCAGCAGGAAGAGAAATGAGCAGAGGAATGAATTATTCCCCTGCTAAAGGTATCTCTCCATTTTTTATTTATTTATTTATTTTTAATGCAAGCATCCTTTCCCTTTCCTGCTGTTAGGGTCCTAAGTATTTCCCAGGCACATTGCATAATGCACTCAAATGCTGCTGCAGGCTTGGTGCTAAGTGGCATCCCCTTTGCCTGAAGAGCGAGAGGCGGCTGCAATACCCTTAATGAGGACGTGCAGCTTTGAAGACCTCGCTAATGTTAAGAGGAGGGATTTCCAGATGCAAGACTAATGTAAAATGCATTAACACTAATGGGGGACAGGGGGGAAAACTCCCGGCCCTTGCAGCCCCCAGAGGTTGTTCAGATGGTGTTTGGTGTTTTCAGAGCCCTAAGATGCTATTTGGCTCTGGACGGAAGACGAAAAGCTCCGCGGAAGTTTACCTGTGGACCGGGACCCATGGGGCCCATCCCTCGTGGAGGATTCATCCGTTGCATGGGCCCGCCCATGTTGGGGTGCCCTGTTGGGAAGAAAGCACGTAGGTTATATGGGGGGAGAGCCTATAGACCCCCAGCCAACAGCCGGCAGGAAAGCGGGGAACAGGCGGAGCTCCTCCGCTGGATTTACCTTGCTGTCGCGTGGGATCCATGGAATTGGGCAGCAATGGCTGTGTACCAGGAACCGCCCCCGGAGGCTACACATGAAAACAAGGGGAGGAAGATAAAAACAAACGAAAAAATAGAGCAAAACAAAAGCAAAACAAGCCCCCCCAGCCCTGGCAGATCCTGGCCAATACACAGTCTACACCTGTGGATCCCGCTGGAGGCTTGGCGCTCTCCGGGGGTGCCCGGTTATCCGGCGTGCTCCCCGGGACACGGCGCCCTTCGTGTCACAGCATGACTCGCGCCTCGCCTGCCTCCCTCGGGATCGCAGCCGCCCCGGACGTGTTGCTGCAGACTCCTGGAATTTGCCTAGCTTGTGCTTTGATAGCCCTCCTGCTTTCCTTTGCAAACGCCCTCCAACAGAAAGCCCAGACAAAGTCGCTCCGCTTCCTCCTTCCCCTTCAGCCTCCGAGCCCCTCCGGATTTTTGGAGCATGGGGGGAAACCCCGGGCTGAGCGGGGCAGAGGCGTCAAAGCTGGGAACGACAGGAGACGGGCAGCGCCATTCCCAGGTATTTACATAGCACCAGGGCCAAGTCGTACGCGCTGAAGTGATTTATTTGCTAATGAAGGGGAGACGCTTCATCTGCAGGAGAGCAGCTCTCCGCATTTTCCTGAGGTCTCAGCAGCCGTCGGCTCCCCCTGCATTTTTAGATCCAGCTGCTCCCTGCTCCCCAAATTCATGCCTTGCTCATCCATGTGGCTGTGGGAAGTTCAAAGGCTGCCTTCCCTGCGCTGCTCTGAGCAGATAAGGAGGGAGAAGCCCAGATACCATCTGCCCGGGGGAAGCAAGCTGTAAAGAGCTTGGAAACAGCGCTGCCTTTGATTTGGATACTGCCACGCAACATCTCCCACTGCTGGGGCACACAGGGGCTTCAGACGGGGCGCACACAGGCAGCCCGAGCCCAAATTCGCCCCATCCGCCACTGGAGAAGAGACTGAAATCCCAGGAGGAGGCTGCAGAGGTYTGCTCTGCTGAACCCCCCAGCTCCTTTCAACCCCATCAGGCAAAACTTTAGGTAGGACCTAGGCAAAACACGCACACCTGGCTTGCTTTTAAGTGTTGCTGGACCAGGTGATTTGGAAAATCCCCTATTTTAAATAACTCCCCTGGCTTGAGCATGACTCAGTGTCTCTCTAAAGCTACAAACAGCTGTATTGGTGGCAAGGGGAACCCAGAGAGAGTGGGACAAGCAGGGACCTAAGGCCTGTGCTTGGTGCCCACTCCCTTAATCTATTCAGTCTGCTTAAAGCAGTTTGCACCTCAGGCAGTGCAAGTCACCCGGCACTGGGTCACGCACGGAGAGCTGCTCTACACCCCCTGCTTGCTCTGCTGCCTTTCCAGTGCTGCTTCGAGAAATAAGAGATATATAAGCGTAATAGCTTCACGTGCAAGAAGTATTAGCAGAAAACCAGCTCCTGAGGTAATCTTCCTGAAGTACTTGGTTTCTAAACTGAATTACCTGTTGCTTTCTCTTAAGAGGAAACCAGAGGAAACCTCTGCTGAGGAGATGGCCACCCCGATCTGCACAGCGGGGCGTTAAAGCTGGTGAGTGACTGAACACGCCGGTCTCGGCAGCACCAGCAACGCGTTGTTTYAACGGGGCTAAGACCCCCCAAACCAGGAGTGACCCGGCCCTGCAGCTGACGTGCGCGCTGGGCAAACCCAGCAGCGGGATTAGCTCCATCCCTTGGGATCCTCAGGATACGCGGGGTGGCGCACGGCTGCCGGAGCCCATGGAGCTGCTGGCACTGGAAACACGGCACGCGCTGCCCTGACAGCTACTCCCTGCTTGCAGCTGGATCTTGGGGAAAATCATCTGGATCTTGAGGAAAACGTTTCCTCGGCACTTAATGCTCCAGCACCACGGAGGGCGGCACGGGGAAGCGAGCGCTTCCCGCATGCTCCAGCGCGCTTCCCACTCGGAGTAAAGTGCCGAGGGATCCCACATCCACCCGCCGCGGAGAGGGGAAGGGCAGCGGTACCTGGTTTCCCATTCTGATGGGGGGCCGGGGACCTCCTGCGTAGCGCGGCGACATGAAAGGCTGCAATTACACAAAGTTTAGGTCAGCGACCGGCGGCGAGGACACGGCGCGACCCACGCGCAAGCCCCTTGGGCTCTACACATTTGCCTGCAGAAACTGCTTTTTAGGAAAAGGTTGAAGGAAAAACAAAAAAGGGGAAAAAAAAAACAAGAAAAAGGTGTTCAGAGTCCTTTTTTTTTAAACATTTTTCAGTTGATTTTTTAATGTTTGAGAAGCCATCTGACATACTTCGTCAATGCTGTGCAAGGCTGTTAAAGTTAGCGTGCAGGAAACCCTGAACATCAGGTACCATCCACGTTTAAATAAATAAAAATAATAAAAAAGTGGCAAATAAGCACATACAGACACACATTAAAAAAAAATCCCACTGCTAATATCAAAAAAAGAAGAAACATTATTTTTTTATAATTGCTGCTGCTAACAGAAGCTTAAAAATTCCAAATCCAGTTAAACTTCGCAGGCTACCTCAGGGAGGGAAACCTGGCTGCAGTCCCTTGTCAAGYGCACATATAAAAACCAAGGAGAAAATGACATTTCATATGGGAGCTGGGATGACGACGAGGGAGAAAAAAAAAAGAATATATAAATATATAATAGCTAGGTAGATAGATAGATGTGGAGGGCACCCCGCCACGCTTGGGGAGTAGAAGGGAGCGCGGGGGCCGCGCCGTTACCTGACTGTGGGGTCCCATCATGCTGTTAGGGTTGTGAGGTGGAGGCTGTGCGTGGGGCGAGGGCTGTGAACCAGGCGGGCCCTGTGAGGTCAGACAGCAGAAGGAGGTGATAGATTAGCACATGAAAGCGCAGAAAGAGCT